TCAGCTCAGGCCTTGATCTCGGGGTCATGAGTTCAAGCCCCAAGTTGGGCTCTGTGCTGGGTGTGCAGCCTACTTGAAAATAACAAATAAATAAATAAATAAAATTGTGAAATATTGGGGTACCTGGCTGGCTCAGTTGCAAGAGCATGCAACTCTTGATCTTGGGGTCATTGAGTTCAACCCCACATTGAATGTAAAGATTATAGAAAGAAAGAAAGAAAGAAAGAAAGAAAGAAAGAAAGAAAGAAAGAAAGAAAGAAAGAAAGAAGCAAACAAACAAACAAACAAACTTAGATTCCCCTTAAAGTCAGGAGCATAGACAAGAATGCCATGTGACACATACATAGCCTTACTTCTTATTAACAAAAACCCCAGGGGTACCTGGGCGGCTCAGTCAGATAAGCATTTGACTCGGTTTTGGCTCAGGTCATGATCTCACAGTTCATGGGATCAAGCCCCACATCAGGCTCCGCATTGAAAATGTAGAATCTGCTTGGGATTCTCTCTCTTCTTCCCTCTGCCCCTCCCTCTCTCTCTCTCAAAATAAATAAATAAACTTAAAAAATGTTCATTTAAGGCAGTTACTGCTCAGCTGAAAAGCCTCTTTTCCCAGACTCCCTTGCAGCTAGACTATGCCATAATTCTGGCCAACAAAAATTAGGAAACTCTTCTGAGGATTTCTAAGAAAGTTGTTTTTTGTTTTGTTTTTTTCTCCTGATAGAAGTACTTCTCCTTTCTCCCTGCACTTCCTTCTTCTTGCCTAGAATATGCATGCAATGCCTGGAGCTTTGGTGGTCCTCTATGAGGACAAAAGCCAAATGCTCCAGGATGGCCAAAAAGAAATATAGGATGATCTTAGGACACTGGTGATAGTGTGAAGCTGGGCCTCATGTTACATGAGAAAGTACACCCCTATCACTTGGGTTTTCAGTTACATATAGCTGAACACAATCCTAACCAGTATTAGTTTGCCGTTACTCTTCTTCTGCCTGTTAGTAAAGGTCTTAAGGTACACGGCAAAATAAGAAAAAAAAGAATAAAGACTTGAAAGGAAGAAACAGCTTACTCTTCAATAGTGCAGTAAAAAAGATTATATCAAACGTAGCAAAATGTTAACAAGTGGTGAATCGACTGCAGAGTATTCAGCTTTGAAATTTTTAAAAATAAAAATTTAGGGAAAAAATACTAATAAGCAAAAAAGAACAATTAATTTTACGTGTGACCACATATACCATAAACAAAGAGAAAAGACAGGGGTGCCTGGGCAGTTCAGTCAGTTAAGCACCTGACTTCAGCTCAGGTCATGATCTCACGGTCCGTGAGTTCGAACCCCTGTGTTAGGCTCTGCGCTGACAGCTCAGGGCCTGGAGCCTGCTTCAGATTCTGTGTCTCCCTCTCTCTCTGCCCCTCCCCCACTCACTCTGTTTCTCAAAAATGAATAAATGTTAAAAAAAAAATTTTTTTTAAACAAAGGGAAAAGACAAGGCAAATTATCAGTAAAGGATTAGTAAAAGATTAGCTTCCAAAAATACATGAAGAACTTTTACATATTCTGTAAGTCAGTAAGCAAAAGGTAAGCAACCCAATAGAAAAACAAGCAGATGATATGGATAAGACATTCATGGGAATGAAACCCATTATGTCCAATAACCAGATAAAAAGATACTGAGCGTACTAATCAAGAAAATTCAAATTAAAACAACAAAAATACAGCACTTCACAACACCTAACAGTTAAAGAGGCACAGGATGCTCAGCAATGCCCCTCTTAGTTATAATCCCCAGAGCAGCAACAAGTCCGTGAAATCAATATTCTTTACACAGTGACACTAAAACATCATTTGCCTTTTTCATCCTCACTCATGAATATTCAGTGAAGTTTTCCAGAGGCTCATGGTATACATCACAGCCAGATGACTGCAGAAGCAGATAGGAGAATCCAGCTGCCTTCTATTAATTCAGACATTAAAGAAATTTTCAAAAATATAAAAGCAAAGCAATTCTTTTATTTTGGAAAATATAATTATTTTTTAAAAAAATACTACTTATGATAACACATATCAGGTTTATTATTGGGAGTTTTTAAATAAGTATTTTAAACATATCTTCATTTTAATTTCCAATACAATAAATATTGACAGCTATAACTCATAAAAGCTCTTTAGGATCCTCAATCATGTTTTCAGAGTGTAAAGAGGACCTTAGACCAAAAATTTTGAGAACCACTGCCCTGGAGAAACTATCACACATGTATACCGGGAGACATATACAAGAATCTTCCTTGCAACACCGTAATAACAAAGAACTGCAATTACTTAAATGTTCATCAGAAGGAAAAAATGATAAACTGTATATATTCTTACAATAACTATATAGCAATTTTTTTCAACGTTTATTTATTTTTGGGACAGAGAGAGACAGAACATGAACGGGGGAGGGGCAGAGAGAGAGGGAGACACAGAATCGGAAACAGGCTCCAGGCTCTGAGCCATCAGCCCAGAGCCCGACGCGGGGCTCGAACTCACGGACCGCGAGATCGTGACCTGGCTGAAGTCGGACGCTTAACCGACTGCGCCACCCAGGCGCCCCTAACTATATAGCAATTTTAAGAAATGAACTAATGCTACCTGTAACAGGTGGTCAAATCTCACAAATAATGAATTTCAAAAGCACAGTGCTGAAAGATACATACAATATGCCATGCATATAGTTTTAAAACATGCAAAATCATACTAGTATATATTATTATTTAGCAATACACACATATGTAGCAAGAGTAAAAAATAAAAATACATGGGAATGATAAAAGCAAAACATGGCTGGCTCAAACATGGCTGGCTCAGTCGGTAGAGCATGTGACTCTCAGTCTTGGGATCATGAGTTCAAGCCCCATGTTGGGCATAGACTTACTTAAAAAAAAAAAAAAAAAAAAGGCAAAAATCATTGCAAATGTTACCTGTGGGGAGGTGGGGAGAGAAATAGCATGCAGGAAGACTACACGGGAGCCTTCAATTACATGAATGTTTATCTCTTAAGTAGACAGTAGAAATGGAGGTATTCATTATGTTATTCCCTATAATTTTTTGTCTGGTTGCAATACATCATAAGTAAAATTTAAGAATGCTAAAGAGAGGGGCACAGGGGTGGCTCAGTCGGTTAAACATCCAACTCTGGATTTCAGCTCAGGTCATGATCTCACGGTTCGTGAGTTTGAGCCCCATGTCAGGCTCTGCGCTGAAAGCCTGGGATTCTCTCTCCCCCACACTCTCTGCCCCTCCCACCCTCTCTCTCCCTCAAAAAAAAAAAAAAAAAAAAAAAAAAAAAAAAAAATGCTGAATAGATACAATGGGTGTTAGGAAGGGTGAGACACTGTAGGACCAACTTCCTTTGGTTTCAAATTAAGGGTGACTTAGGTTTGATTTAGGTCTCAAATCTAGAAAACTGGAAGACTATCAATACATTAGCTCAAACTTAGGAAGTCAGGATGAAGAAATAGTTTGGGAGAAGGTAAGGTGCTGGGATTTAGACAGGCTACCATGAGAAGTAGAAATGACAAAATTCTTAGAGAGTTGTAAATTTACGGATGGTGTTTGAGAACTGTCAGGGCCAGAGACATAGATTTGGGGCTCAACGAATAAGATGGAAGATTTGAGAATAGATGAGGTCATCAAAAAAGGTGGTAAAGGAAGATGTGGCTATGGACAAGCTTCTCCAGACAGAGCAGAGGAGACAGCTTGAGGAATAATGACACAGAAAGCCAAGACGGAGAAGATAAGAGAGGTTAGTGGAAGACAACAGTGAGCCCTCAGAATGGTAAGAAAAGGAATCAGAATCAGGTAGGAGAACATTCAAAGAGGGAAGGCATAAGAAGGTTCAAAGATAATAAAAAATATACTATGTCACTGGACTATATTAGTGTAATTTCAGTGTGCCAATTCCAGGAAGCCAATATTGATTAATCCCACCCCATTCTGACCACTCCTCTGTCACCTATTCATTCCAACAAATGCTGACAGTATCCTGTATGTGGACACAAAGGATACAACGATTGTCTTCAGCATCCTAAGATGACAGTAGAAGACAGAGACTAATCAACTACTAACACTACTAACACTAGTGAATGTAAAACCACAACTACCGTGAATGTTATCAGTGAAAGTACACGGAGCTTTGAGATGCGTAATTAGGGAACTGTTAACTCCTCTTTCCTTTCTTTTTTTTTTTTTTTTAATTTTTTTTTTTTTTCAACGTTTATTTATTTTTGGGACAGAGAGAGACAGAGCACGAACGGGCGAGGGGCAGAGAGAGAGGGAGACACAGAATTGGAAACAGGCTCCAGGCTCTGAACCATCAGCCCAGAGCCCGACGCGGGGCTCGAACTCACGGACCGCGAGATCGTGACCTGGCTGAAGTCGGACGCTTAACCGACTGCGCCACCCAGGCGCCCCCTCCTCTTTCCTTTCAACAGGGTATGTTGTGCCTTCTTCAGCAGACTGCAAGCCCCTTAGGGCATACTTTTTTATACTCTTAGACTGCTGATTTTCTTTAGATATCTTCTCTAAGTGCTCAGCATAATGCTTCAAAATAATGGATATTTAGTATATACTTACTTATATATCTGTACGTTGATGCATCAGATTTTGTAATAAACATGTCCTACTGTATGGAAGAGCTATGACATTTTTTAAATAACCTGCCACAGGTGTTAAAGAGGCCAAAAGCAATGTGCAAGCCTTGGTGTGTCCTCTACCCACATCCCAATCAATTACCTTGAGATTGTATAGGATTATTTGCAAAGGGGGAACTAGTAAAATCATGGAAATTTTGGCACAAACATTCTCACCTCTAGAGAGACAACTCGAAATGTACACTCTACCAACAGTAAGCCAGTGCTATAATGTTATTTTTGCAAATAAAACCCAACATTCATCATAAGGCAATTAGCCATGACAAGAAAAAACAGTTTAGCGGTATTCAACAAGCAGCCCCACAACTACTTACATCACGAAATTGAACCTTTCCCAGTTCTCCTAATTCACTGACGCAACAATAAGCAGCTTCTGACTGTAGAAAAAGCTGGGCCAGCGTCATCTCCTCACTCCGGAAAAGCTCCCCCATGGTGGCAGAAAGTGCCAGTCAATGGAGTGTATGGATTTCTTTCCAACCTAAAGCAAAGAGAGAAAACCGCATGACCTCAGATATTACCAAGAGGGCTAAGAGCAAACAACACCGCAGTAAAGCTCTTTTGTTTTGCATTCCATATCTTCTACCCCTTGCAGACAGATTTTTAACATCCTGCTTAGAAAGATGGAAAGAAGAAATTGCAAAAGACTGTTACTAAATCCTCTCCTGCAGATGAAAAGTCACTTCCTTTGCAGTCAACACCAGGATCAAATGACAATACTTTGGGGCATCTCAATACATAAGAATGTATCCAGGTTAAAAACAGGAACTGGGATTCCCAAACAGCTCTTTAAATACCCTGGACAGGGTATTATGACTCAGTGGCGTTCACACTACACCACCTGTTTTTGGTTTGTGTCAGGAAACAAACAGAAGAGACCTAGATTACCCTCTCATAAAGGATGTCTCCCTTGAAATTAGTTTTCTACCCTCTACTGCCCATTTCTAACTCTCAGAGTCCCAGCACTACCCTAGAGCTAAGGCTACCTTAAAGGGTTTAACCTTCCAACTTCTCAGAAAACACCATTTTCTCCCTAAGGAATCTAAACACATCAGCATTATCAAAAAAAAAAAAAAAAAAAAAAAAAAAAAAAAAAAGAGAGAGAGAGAGAGGGGCGCCTGGCTGGTTCAGTGGGTACAGCACGTGACTCTTGATCTCAGGGTCATGAGTTCAAGCCCCAGGTTGGGTGTGGAGCCTACTTAAAAAAAAAAAAAAAAAGCCAGCTTGCATATTAAGCTGGATTTCAAGTCCAGCATGCCAGGAGTACATTGATAATGACAAAGCAGTTTTTATCAAGCCACAGGGTATAAACTGGCCACCTCCTTAGCTTTCCGTTTCTTATCCCCATCCTTCAAGATTAATTACATTCTTCCATCTGTTAAAGCTTCTCATACATAAGCCAATAAAGATTTCTTTTAGGGCTGTCTTATCCTCGCCCGGTATGAAAGACAATGGCGCTATCAGTGGTCCTGAAACTGCAATTATTTGTTCGCAATCAGCTATTGTAAGGCACAGACTGCACAGTATCTAAACTCACCACACCATACAGTATTTTTAGTATCACGAAGGCATCCATAATGGTAGGTGAAACTGGCATCAAAAAAGAGCTACTCTGCAAGGCTGGAAGACATTTTGAGAAATCTGAATGACAAAACCTTTGTGCATTTGATGTTCAAGGCACACAATAACACACTCATATATAAGCAAGGATTTCTCAAGAGATTACGTAGCTTGACTTTAAAATCGTCTATACCTGAGTCACTCAAAACAGCTGTTATCAACCCTCCCACATCTTCCCCCAAACAAGGAGAGATTCCGCAGCCTCTAAAGCCGGTAAAATTATGCCTGATCAGCATAGTTCAGGGGCTGCCAATAATGACAGCCTCCAGAGTTGCCTCCCTGCTTCTGTTCTTTAATGATTACAAGTCTCCCGAGAACATCTCTATCCCACTGGAGCCAAACAGAAAACCAGGCCAAAGCGATTCAAGGGTGGGACGATGTCACAAAACAAAATATGAAGAAACAGTAATTCTGCACAAGATGAATACAAATAAAGCGCCCGGCGCCCGCCTCATTATTGTCATCCAGTCTTCGTCTCCTACGAGGTACTCAAATTCACCTGCTTCATTTCCTGTCTACCCAGTGAGAAAGCAGGAATTCTCTGAGCCCAGGCACACCTACCTCCAGAAGTGACGATTAAAAGGGGGGAACCCTCAAATGGGGAGCCCCTTTAAGAAGCCCCCCAAATTTTTCTGCCTACCCAATAACCTTCAGTTCCTCCGCCTCCACCTTAAATGGGGGGGAGGGATCAGGGCCTCCAAAGAGGAGCGAACCTCCAATTCCTCTGCCCACAAGAGGGGCGCCCAAAGAGGGGTGAACCCCATTTCCTCTCAAAGACCTAAGATCCCTGCTAATTCCTTTGACAAGCGAGGAGGCTGTTAGAACGATTTCCTGTGCCCTTCCCGGGCCGCTCCCTGCTGCGCTGTACCTACATCCCCGGCTCACCTTCAGCCGCGGGCCGGGCCGCAGCCAAAGCAGCCGCCCCAAACCAAGCCCGCAGCCTCCGCGGCTCGGGACAGCTGCGCTCGACGCGCGTGCGTCCGCAAAGCCCTGCCCCTGCGTAGCGGCTGGCTCCGCCCCCACGATGACCTCATTGCAGTCAGCCAATGGGGTGGAGCCTTGGCCGGCTGCCGCAGTGCAGAGTCGCGGGGGCGCGGGCAAGACCCAGAGTGCTGACGCCATATTGTGCGCGCGGCCGTGGCACCCGGTCCCGCGGGGCGGGGGTTCCAGTGGGGCCTGCTGGTGCGGGTGCTGGAGGCCCTGAGTCCCCGCGCCCTTCAGAATCCCTTCTCCCTAATACTTACCCTTGAGGCGAGACTGCCTGCTTTTTTTTCTTTTCATATCCGAAGAATTCACAGCTTTTTTTCGACAGAAGAAACATAAAGGAAGGGGAGAAATCATTATGAAATGACCAGAGACCTGGAGAGGAGCTTAAAAGCGCTTACAGTCCAGGCTCCTCTACATACACACGCACCCTTTACCCTTAATTTATAGAAGAGAACATTTAAGCCCCGGAGTGAGCAACACCTTGCTCAAGGTGCCAGATCCGTTGTAGAGCCTTGAACAGGGGCTCTTTCACCTAAGTGTGGAAAAGCCCTTTTTAGGAAAGTGCTTGGTTCAGTCCCTCCAGCAAGCGTTCAGGCTCTATTTTCCTCCAGTTGGTGGGAAAATCCCCATAAGACCATGTGTTGTGAGAGTAAATTTTTATCTTGTTCGGCAAGATTCCTGCGGGCCCATTTGACCACTGAAGGGTTTTCTATTCCTCAAAAACCTTAGAAGAATAACTTAAAGTTTGGGTTTTTTTAAAACGCAAAAGTGGTGCTACCTACTCTTTATAAAAAACGCCTTTCTCAATTCTGATATCGACTCCCTAAGGAGGAGTAGGGATCCCAAATCATTTGTAGTAACCAGAGCTCCATCAGGAAAAACTTGGAAAACCGGTTATTCAGTCTCTGTGGGTGGTGGAACCCTACTGAGATTGAAGTGTAGTGAAGAAGATACTTCGGATAAAAACCTAATGCTGATAATTTTGTCCACTTGGCACAGACCTCATCAATCCTGTTTACCAGCCTAAAACTAATAATGAAGGGCAAAAATGGACGTTTTATTTGAATTTTCTATCTCATATTGTGAGTGAAGATATAACTCGACTCCATTACGATTTAGTTGAGAAGTAGCACCTTGGAGAGGTGATCTTCAATATGGTCCTCAATGTGATCTTCCTGTGATCTTCAACGTCCCCTAGCTGTCTCAACTTTCCCGGCAAGGCAGATAGAGACTCACACTTGAAAGCCTGCCAAGTTTTAGAATACTATTACACAATGACTATCATTTCCTTTTTATGAGACTCAAAAAAAGCACCCCCCCCCCCTTTTTTTTTAAACCTCAGAGTCAGGTGCTTGCTAACCACAAATTTTTCATACTCCACCTTTAAGACAGGCTTTCATCTGGACTCACCTCAATCCCCTTGAACTCTCTTTTTTCTCATGGTTTCCTTGAAAGTATATCCTCTCAAGTCCCTTTTCTGGCTTCTGTCATCTCCTGCCATCAATCTTTCTCCAGTGTTCTATTCCCTCCATGCTCTCTACCTTGGCAGTCCTGCTTCTTGTCAGGTGTAAATGTCTATGTGTGGAACTCATACCTATTTCTCCATCCACCTCCCTTCTCCTAGGCTCAGGGATGGAATTTCAAGCCGCCTGAATAATGCCATTCAGGCAACAGATGCTTGCCGAAGGCCGAACCCGTGGCGAACGTGGTGCCAGCTGCTGGGGAAAGGAAAAATGGAACAGACACACTTCCTATCCTAGAGGAGTTCACAGTTCAGTGAGAAAGAAAGTTCCAGTAATTACAGGAGAGAGATGAGTGCAATGATTCATACTTATTATGTGACAAGCATACTTTTTTTTGAAACAAAATTTTAATGTTTATTTATTTTTGAGAGAGAACAAGTGGGGGAGGGGTGGAGAGAAAGGGACAGAGGATTCAAAGTGGGCTCTGAGCTGACAGCAGCGAGCCTGATGTGGGGCTCGAACTCACAAATCGTGAGCCACCGAAGTCGGCCGCTTAACCTACTGAGCCACCCAGGTGCCCCTGACATTTCATACTTATAGCATTAGGACTCTCTAAGCCCCAGTTTCCTCTTCTGTAAAATGGGGTTAATAATAATACTTACATCATATGGTTATTGTGAAGAATAAAAGGAAGTTAGTACACCCTTAGCCCTCAGTCTGCATTCAAAAACTGTTAATTATCATCGCCATTACCTTACTGTCGTTGAGATACAAAATACCGTATAATGGACCTGAGAATCTCAGAAAAGATTACATTGAGGAGGTGACATGACAGCAGAGTTTCGAAGGATCAGAGCTCTCACTGAATAAAAAACTGGCCCTTTCCCTGAGATCATTAATCCTACTGATGGCATTATTGTTTTCCTGGCTACCCAGGTTCCAAGCTTAAGCCATCTCTAATTCCATTCTTTCTCTTTCTCTCCACATTTAGTCAGTTGCTATGTCATGCTAATTGTGTGTCCTGCATTTGTTTCTTGCCTCTACCCACTTACCCTTTTTATTTTCTTTGCTGATATCCTAGTAGAGTAGGTCCGTTAGCCTCTTTCAGATAACTAAAGCAGGAGCCAATGGGAAGCAGCATGGTGTAGTGTCACAGAGCACAGGCTTTTGTACCAGCCTGACCTAGGCTTGTATCTCAGTTCCTCCATTTATTCCATCTAGTATCAAATTTAAGAGAAATAAACCTCAGCTCTAACGATTACAAGGTGTGTGAACTTGAGCAATTTGGTTCTTGAGCTTCATTTTCCTCGTTGAAATTCTCATGGACTTGTCTGTGTCTCTTTTAGAAAACACAGTACTTTCTACCTGGCTTTTTTTTTTTTTTTTTTTTTTTTCCTATCACCAAACTATAAATTCCTTTTCTCCCCTAGCATCGGGCCTACTCATTCAATAGTAAGTACTATTTCTTGAGTGAATGAATGAATGGATGACCCTGAAAGAAATGGGGGCCTCCTAATAGAAATCTACTATCAACAAAAAAACACAGGTATCAGACAAAAAAGAATATGATCACCCCCTGCCTCTTTTCTTTATCCCCTTTATTTTATGGATTTCATTACCGGTGGGGAGGAGAGCTTGTAACAGATTCTTCTATTTTTATAACAGAGATATGAGGGACAGCTGGGAAAGGTTCAGAGCAGAAGCTAGAAATCAAAAAAGGTGTGAGGAGTCAGTGCCAACTTTGCAGGATCAAGTTCAGCACAATAGTGCTAATGTTTGTATTCCATTTACAGTTCTCAAAGTTATTCTACATCAAAGCATACCTATGAGGTATAACACTCTTTAAGTTCCATGATGAAGAATACTTTTAAAAATAGCTTTCAGTTATCAAAAATCCATCATTTCTTCAGCAAACATCTACTAAGTGCTTGCTATATACTGGGCATAATGCTGGAAGCTGGAAATGCAAAAATGAGCAAGGAGCCCACAGTCCATCAGAGGAGTTAGACAAACAACTAACTGTAATGTAACATATGTAATATAGCAGAGATTAGAACAAAAGGTTATGGAAACCCAGAGAAGAGAGCTACCATTTGGCCCTATTGGCCGGCCCTGGAGAAGGCTTTAAGAAGACATGACATTCAAGATGGGCATCGAAGGATAGTAGAATTTTGTGCAGAAGAGGAGACAAAGGCTAATGAAATAGAAGAGAAATAGTACTAATATTAGACCAAAATCAGATTTTATTTTCATCATAGTAGGCAAATACACCAACTTAGCCCAAAAATGAAAGAAATACTTTGATCCAGAATAATCAAGCATTTATGTTGATTTTATCTCTGATTACCTGTATGCTTCTGGAGGAAAGAAAGAAGATGAAAGGATCTTCTGGGTTGTGCTCGTCTTTCTGTTGAACAAGTACAGCATATGTCCAACAAGATCAAATATAAAATGCTGTTGATCACACATCCATGGAAAATGTGAGCAATTCTAAATGAAGCTTAGCAAGTAATGCAGTTCTGGGTGTCTTAAACTGAGCTGCCTAGCATTTTTGAAAATGTTTCAATAAAATCTACAAAAATTAGTTCTTCACTACCAAGACAAAGCAGACAACAGAGGCAGTGATCTTGCAGAGTCTCAAAAATCTACAAGAATCTATAGTGGAATGATTAAAATAAATGTTTTTCTTTTTTTCCCTTTATTTTTTAGTTTGAATGAATGCACCACAATTGTCCAAAGTCCCAGTAGTGAAAGGTCAGCTCATGTTTGTTCATCCAACTTAAATTCCTAGATGGGGCTTACAGGAGAGTATTAAAGTTAAGCCAAGTGTTTTGAAATACATATTGACTCAGTGTCCCTCCTTTCCATATGTTTCTTGTATTAGTTTCCTAGGGCTGCTGTACAAATTAGCACAAACTGAGTGGTTTAAATAACAGAAATTTATTCTCTCACAGTCCTGGAGACTGGAAGGCTGAAACCATGATATTTCTGAAGGCTCTAGAGAAGAATCCTTCATTCTCTCTTCCTAGTTTGTAGTCATTGCCTGCCATCCTCAGCAGTCCTTGACTTTTAGGTGCATCCCTACTGTCGTTCCCTCTATCTTCACACGGCATTCTGCTCTGTGTGTCAGTATCTAGATTCAAATCCCCCCCCCCCTTTTTTTTGAGAAAGAGAGCGCGAGTGGGAGAGAGGGGCAGAGGGAGAGAGTGAATCCCAAGCAGGCTCCATGCTCAGCAAGGACCCAGACACTGGGCTGGATTCCATGACCCTGGGATCATGACCTGAGCTGAAATCAAGAGTCTGATGCTCAATTGACCGAGCCACCCAGGCACCTCTAAATTTCTCTCTTCTTATGATACCAGCTATTGGATCAGGGTCCACCTTAATCCTCTACGACCTCATTGTAACTTGATTATATCTGCAAACACGCTCTTTCCAAATAAGGTCACATTCACAGATTCTGAGTGAACATGAGTTTTGGGGGA